TTCCAATCCATGAACACGGTATATTTCTCCATCTGTTTGTGTCCTCTTTGATTTCTTTCATCAGTGTTTTATAGTTTTCTATGTATAAGTCTTTTGTTTCTTTAGGTAGATATATTCCTAAGTATTTTATTCTTTTTGTTGCAATGGTGAATGGTATTGTTTCCTTAATTTCTCTTTCTGTTTTCTCATTGTTAGTGTATAGGAATGCAAGGGATTTGTGTGTTAATTTTATATCCTGCCACTTTACTATATTCATTGATTAGCTCTTAGTAATTTTCTGGTAGAGTCTTTCGGGTTTTCTATGTAGAGGATCATGTCATCTGCAAACAGAGAGAGTTTCACTTCTTTTCCTATCTGGATTCCTTTTACTTCTTTTTCTGCTCTGATTGCTGTGGCCAACACTTCCAAAACTATGTTGAATAGTAGTGCACCCCTTAATTTAATAGGAAGAGATTTACTTATGCAATGGCAAACTCAAATACATATTACACATTTTTCCTAGGGGCCACTGCTCATTTAACGAACAATACAATTACTAAAATAACTTGGAACAATGATGAGCCTATTTGGACAAAGCGGTGGCCCCTTACAAAAGAGAAACGAGAGGCTGCTAAGGAACTTACAGATACACAACTGAAATTAACACATTGAGGAATCTTGTTCCCCTTGGAATTCTCCCATTTCTGTAATAAAAACAGAAATCTGGCAAACGGCGTCTCTTAACTGATCCCTGAAAAGTTAGTGCACCTATGAAACCTATGGTGCATTGCAACCAGGAATGCCATCACCCACCACTATGCCTCGAAACTGGCACATTATTATCACAGATTGACAAGACTGCTTTTTACTATACCTTTACACCCTCTAGACTGAGAGAGATTCGCTTTCTCTCTTTCTTATCCTAACCATATCAGGCCTCATAAATGGTATCAATGGACTGTGTTCCCTCAAGGAATGATGAATTCTCCCACCATGTGTCAATATTATGTAGCCAAAGCCCTTGAACCTGTAAGAAAACAATTTCCTGACTTTCTTGTTATTCATTATATGGATGATATATTGTTTCCAGCTCCATCTGTTTTAGAAACTCAGCAGATGTTTGACATAGCTCAACAATGCTTAAAAGCTTCTGGATTAATCATTGCCCCTGAAAAGATTCAAACATCTACACCTCATTATTACTTAGGATTTGTTGTTAGTAGACAACGTATTATTCCCCAACTAACACAGATTCGTGTTGATAAATAATCAACCTTGAATGATTTTCAAAAACTTTTAGGTGATATAAAGTGGATTAGATCCTCTTTAGGCATTGCAAATTATCAACTGACTAATTTATATAACACTTTAAAAGGAGATCCCGATTTAAATAGCTCTTGTTCACTTTTCCAAGAGGCATGAGAGGAACTTTGTTTAGTACAAAATAAATTGCAAAAGCAGTTTCTTACTCGTATTAGACTTGATTTACCTCTAGAGTTATTTACACTCCTCTCTCTCCATTGTCCCACAGGACTCCTTACCCAACAAGAATACCTGATAGAATGGATCTATACCCATTTTAAAGGGACAAGGTCACTTACATCTATCTTGATTTGATCACTCTAATCATTATCAATGGAAGAAATAGAGCTAAGACTCTAACTGGCTCCAATCCTCACAAAATTGTAGTACCTATTAATAAATCTCAATTTGAGAATGCATTACAAACTTCCACCGATTTCCAAATAGCCTTTCTGGAATATTTTGGAGAAATCTCATTTCATTATCCTTCTAACAAGCTCTGGAATTTCTTCAAAAATACTGAATTTATTATCTCTCGCATTGTCATATCACAACCTATACCTCAAGCTGAAGTTTTCTATATACATGGGACTAAAAACGCCAAAGCCTCATTCTGGTCTCTCAAAGAATATAAAGTCTGTACTAAATTTCACTCGGCTCAACAAAATGAATTAAATGCTCTCATTCAGGTTATTCACCTACATTCTAATCCTATTAATATAGTTTCTGACTCCTTATATTCAGTTTTTGTATTAAGAAATATGGAAACTTCTACCATAAATTCTAATCAATCTCTTATCCAACAACTTTTTCTTGAACTATAATCTATAATTAGGAACTGCACTTCCCCCATTTATATTGCCCATATTCAAGCACATTCTTGTCTTCCGGGCCCTATGGCTCATGGCAATGAACAGGTTGATGAACTTGTCTCTTTTGCTACTCCTGAAGAACATGCTCTATTACACAATAATGCTGGCTCATTACAGCAAATTCGGAAAATTCCATACTGACAAGCCACAGAAATCATCAATAACTGCTCTACTTGTAGACCCCTACATCTTTGATCCATTGCACAAGTTATCAGTCCTCGAGGATTACAACCCAGTAAACTACGGCAAACGGATGTAACTCATTGCCTTGAACTTTCTCCCTCTTCCTTCTTACATGTCTCAGTCAATGCAAATTCTTCTTTTATATGGACCACACCTCTCCGAGGTGAAGCTACACGACATGTTATAACCCACCTATTAGCTTGCTTTGAAATAGTGGGAACACCTATTTCTGTAACAATGGCCCTGCCTATATTTCTAGGCAATGCAAACAATTTTTACAATCATTTTCTATTAAACATATTACAGGTATTTCTTATAATCCACAAGCACAGGGCATAGTTGAACGAGCACATCACACACTGAAACTACAAACAAAATTTAAAAAGGGGGAATACACAGGAATACTTCTATCTTCCTTATCCAGAGCAGACTTTACTAGATTCCAATGTAATATATTCTTTAATCCTATAACTATTGTTAATACAGCTTTATTTGTTTTAAATTGTTTTAACTTACCGCAAGGAGATATTTTGACAAAAGCAGAAAAACATTTCGAGGCATTGAAGGATACCTCCCTTCCTCTGACCATTTGGTATCAAGACAGGTTGACTAAACAATGGAAATCTGCAAAATTAATATTACAGGGAAAGAGGTATGCTTGTATTTCTCCAGAAGGATGCAATGAAATCAGCTGGCTCCCTCTTCAGAAGATTTGCCCTAGGGGAGCCACTGGCATTCAAGATAGAGAAGAAATGGCAAAATCCCCAGGAGGAGGAGATTCCAGTACAAGCCATGGCGGCTTTAAAAATTTCCAAGAAGCGCCGCACTCGACGTCATTGACCTTATGATCTCCCTACTTGGTGACAGATAAAGACCCTTACTAATCAAGCTGAAAATTGGTTTCTCAACAGGGAATGCCTCGGAATCCTGAAAATATTTTTGTCGCTATGCTTGCTTTGCTTGCTTTTGCTTCCCCCGCTCAGGCTGACTTGATTCACCACATTTATTGGGCTTATATACCTAACCCCCCTTTATTGCAGGTTGTAGAATGGACAGATACAGGACTGGTCGTATCCACTAATGACTCAGCATATATGCCTCCTCCTTGGAGCTTGGAGGGGGCCCTCTCATCCTAAGGAAGAAGGAAGACTAATTAACATTTCTCTAGGCTATGAAATCCTTCCTTTATGAATGGGCCCAGCAGAATTATGTATTAATGTCAGTCGACATATGTGGGCTTTCGTCCTGCCTCCAAAAAAGAACCTCTGCACATTGCTTGGACTGTTTACTGCCCTGTCCTTTTATGAGAACCATGTCAATGCATCCCAAAACTCTAGGAAAAGGACAACAATTGGAATGTAAGGGTTTACTTATAAGGACTTTAAATATACTCCTGTTTATTGGGATAGATGTCCAGCTAAATCAGGGAAATTAATGTTTGTGGCCAGTTACACCATTGTTGATTGGGGACCCCATGGTATGTGGTTATCTAACTGCTCAGATGATATTAACAGTACTATGTGTGATTATGTTACTCAAGTAGCATGGAAGGTTACCAACAGTTCAATGGAACACTTCCATGACAAAGGACTCCTTGGCTGGCTTGACGGCAGAATGGCACCTCCTCGCCCTCGAACTGTCCTCAATAAACGGATTGGGCCTGAACAATGGGACATCTGGAAACTTGCTGCGAGTACTGAAACACTTGGAACTTGGACTGGATATTTCACAGGGACCAGTTGTAGTCATAGTAACTATTTATTCCTTCGTTATAATCATTCATATTTTATACAAGCTTGTGTTCCCCTTCCTTTTGTTATGGCCATAGGGAACCTACAATTTAATAAGACTTTACATTCTGTGACTTGTATAGATTGCAAATTGTATACTTGTCTTAATTCCTCTATTTCTCTAAAAAACGAATCCCTTTTGATTCTTTGATCTTGACGTAGTCTGTGGTAGCCAGTAGATCTCCAAAGACCCTAGAAAGAGGGTCCCATGGCAGAACTTGCCTCCCGGTTAGTCACTAAATTACTCCAATGATCTAAGCGATTCATCGGATGGCTAATTCTTGGCATTTTGGGGTTAATAGCCATTTGCACCACTGCTGCTGTCACAGGCATTGCTTTACAAACTTCAATTCAAACACAAAACTTTATTCAAAATTGGACTAAAGATGCTCATACTATATGGGCCACTCAGACTCAGACAGATGAAGAAGTTCAGGATAAAAATCAGGAATTAGAAACATCCATCCAATGGGTTGGAGATCAATTAATAGATTTACAAAAACAAGTATTATTCAATTGTGATTGGAATTCTACTCAATTTTGTATCACTCCTGTTCGGTTTAACCATAGTGCTTATAATTGGGAACAAATCAAATTTCATTTGCAAGATATACATAATAATGCTTTCTTAAATGTACAATTGTTGCAAAAGGAAATCTTTGAAACCTTCTCTAAGAGTCTGCCCTTTTCCAACAATTTGGAAACTTTAGCTGAACAGCTAACTGATTAATTATCTGGGCTGGACCCTTGAGGATGTTTTCCAAGCATTACACATAATATTGGATCTGGAACTATAATGATGATAACTGTCCTGGTGATTACATTTGTAGTATACTGATGCCTTTCAACTAAAATTGTTCAAACTAAACAAACTCAATTGGTCAGGGCCTTTATCACAAAAGTATCTACAGTCACCCCCAATTATGAAAAAATAAAAAAGGGGGAATTGTCAGGGGATGTTCAACTTTAAGGGATCCGATATGTTTTCTTCCTTTGTGTGCTGTTTCTCAAGGATTCTCTATTCCTTATCAGTTCCTGCAAAACAAGAGCGAGCAGAGATGCATGCAATTCTCAGGACTGAGATCATGAGAAATCACCTGCTTGAATTCCTTTCAGTGACTCCCTTCAGTGACCTTTTACTTAAAGGTAATCTCTTCAGTTATGCCCCTCTTACTCAGGATACGGAATGTAGTCTGGCCCTTTGAAGATTGTTATCTGCTTGGCTCTGTTTTTGCTCATTTTTTTAAAACTGCCTAAAGCTGCCTTGTATAAGATATATAAGCATGCATTTCTGCAAATAAAGTACCCTTGTTTCACTCGAGACTTGGGTCCCCTGCGTCCTTCTTCTCGTCGACTCCAGTCCCCAGGTCCTGGTCTACGAAGACGGTGACACAGTATTAACAGAGATCACTGGTCACATATCACCATTACAAATATGATAATGTTTGGAATATTGTGAGAATTACAAAAATGTGACACAGAGATGCAAAGTGAGCAAATGCTGTTGGAAAAATGGCACCAATAGACTCATTTGATGCAGGGTTCCCACAAACCTTCAATTTGTAAAAAAAAAAAAAAAAAAAAAAGAAAAACGAAACAAAAAAAGAACAAACCCACAGAATCAAAAGCAAAAACAGTATCTGTGAAGTACAAAAGGAGGGTGTGCCTGTCAACGTAAGTTTCCTGGAATGTCCCCAAATCTAAGCAGTATCACAGGGTTCATCTTAACCTTTCTCTCTGACAGCATGAAACCTGACTCTAGCTATCTACCAAAGACCCACTTTTTTGTTCAAACCTAGTATACACATAGGAAGTTTTAAAACTGACAATCCATTTCTGGTGAGAAACACATTTACCAAATAGAGTATAGACAGCACTTATATACAGTTCTTTTTGTCTTGAATCTTACAGTCTTTGGTCCAAACACTGTTTCCAAGATTATGAAGGTCCAAATTTAGGACCACTCCTGATTTTCTCCATCCACTTAAATGTAGTTATGTCATTTGTCTGTAACACAGATTCACTTGTCACCGTCTGCGCCCCAACCTGAATTTTCCCACCATCATGGTATCTATCGATCTGTGTCTTACTTTGTGTTCAGTAAAGTTTGCTCTCTGTGGTGTACAGTTCTGTGGGTATGACAGAGCATCCTGTGGCCAGCACCGCAGAACCATACACAGCTGCCCCATCTCCCTAATGTTAGTTCACAGGCTCTTTGTCTGCAGCTCTTTCCCTCTCCTCCAATTCCTGGCAGCCACCAACCCACTCCCATTCACATAAATGGAATTGTGCACTATGAGACTTCCGGGTCTGGTTGCTTCCACTGAACAAAATGCATTGAAAATTGACTCGTGAGCTGTATGCTGTGCTTGTTTTCTTTCATTGCTGAACAGTATTCCACTACATGGCTCTACTCTAGTATCTTTATCTACTAGATGTTCTCCATTCACCTGTTGAAAGCAACCTTGGTTGTTTCCAGATTTCGAAGATATGAATAGAGCTGTTATGGGCATTCACATATAGGTTTTTGTTGCTCACGAGAGCAGCATTTGCTAGATGAAGGCTCCAGGGTGAGTGGAACCCTCAGGAGTTCTGAGACATGACAGAACTGGTAAGATATATGGCTTTCAGTTCATTAAATGATTCATCATTAAAACAATAAATGCAATGGAGCCATAGAAACTGGGTGAGCTATTTGCTATTTCACTACATGGCGTGTAAATAGAAAAACGTTTATAAACTTTTTTCTTTTCTTTTCCTTTTTTGGCCATGCTACATGGCTTGTGAGATTTTAGTTCCCCTATCAGGGATCGAACCTGGGCCCACGGCAGTGAGCACCTAGTCCCAACAACTGAAACTCTAGTGAATTCCTGCAAAAAAAGCTTTTTTCATTAGCTTTCACATAACATTAAGAGTTAGTACACGTAATTTATATCTTTATTCTCTTAAAAGATGTTTGAGTGAGATTATCAACTATTTCAGCCCGCTATGTTTAAAAGATCTTAAATTTTGAATGTTTCAATCTTTTATTTACATTATTACCCTTCAATTTATACATGAGAATCTATTATTTTTATTGGGGTGCTTTACACATGTTAAAACCATCTTTTAAATAATCTTTATTAGAACGTATTATTTTTAGAATATGGCTCAGTAAAATCTGTTTGCTGATGAGACTCAATTATTTTTCACAACATTGTCATTATTTGCAACTTCAGATTCAGCATTTAAACTTGATTGTGATTTTGCATGTTTCCACTTCATTAGTCTTTTTTCTTCTAATAATAAAAAAATCCTTCTTTATAGGGCAATTTATGTTTATTCTATTGAAGTGATATATAAAATTGTTAAAATATTTGAAAAATGTCACTTTGATATTATTTTGCCATAACTTAAATTTTTCAATAACTTCTTGATTTTGCTAAGACTAAAATCTCCCATACTTTGCTTTACAATGCATTGTGGATTAGGTAAATATAAGATTAAATGTACAAGGTTAACACCCTCCCAGTGAGGTGATGAAATTCCAGGGAACAAAATATGGGATAATCTCACTGTGGGCACATGCATTTTTCTTATACACTATCTGGCTCACACTATTCTTCATAACTGGCCACAGTATTTGTTGCAAAATAAAAATATCTCTTTAAGGTTCCATGTGATTCATTCTTATATTTTCTATTCTACTTAATCTTCACAAAAATTCTGGTTGTGACCCTCCACTAATGGGCTGCAACCAACAGGCCACTACTCAGCAGTCTACTCACTAACCTGGGCCAGGACACCTGCCTAGTCCTGCTGAGAAACAGGTTCCTTGCTCAGACCATAAGCAAGAATCAATTGCAAATGGTTTAAAGAAATAAATGTAAACAGCAAAATTTTAATTGTTTTAGGAAAAAAGTAAAGAAGGATAAAATCCTTATTACTTCTGGACTTGAAAAGATGTATTAAAAATTCCACAGAAAATAACAATATACTGAGGGAAATATCAATGACTTCAGTCATATCAAAATTCAAAACTTCAGTTCAAGAAAGGGCACCACAAAATAGAAAAGTCACAGACTAGAAGGATATATCTTGATGCATAGTACCAATAAAGGATTTTTATCCAGAATAACAGACATAAAATTTCTTACAATCAAAAAATAAGATAAATAACCCAGATGCAAAACACATGAAAAGGTAAGTTGTACACATGAGCATGCAAGTAAGTCACAACTTACAAAAAATATTAGTAACCGTGAAATATTAAAATATTAAAATTATAATGAAGCACAATTTTGTACTTTTAAAGTTTGATGTTTAAAATTTGGAAATTCCAAATGTAGGCCACAGAATGCAGCAGTGGGAACTCAAGCATTATTGATGGCTGGTCCACTGGCAAAACTCATTTGGAGAAAAATGTTGCAATGTTAAGAACATAAAGGAGTTCACATCTCTAGATGCAGCAATTATAGACGTAAGGATGCATATATAAAACCCAGAAATATCTTTATAAAGATATAGGGACATTGTTTCCAACTGCAAGAGAAACCAGACAAAAAAGTAAATTACAAGAATGGATGACTAAATGGTAGTATATCCATTCATTGGAAGACTGTGTGTCAGAGAAAGTAAATACCTAGAGAAGCCAGCATGTGTGAGTCTCACAAACACAATGAGGAACAAAAATGTTAAGCTGTATGACTGTACATCTGATATCACTTATATTGAGTCTCCACATAGGGAACACAATTTCATATCTTAGTTAAGAATAACATATATGTTTTAAGGGTGCATGAATATATGAAACATCAAATCCAAAATAATGTGATCCCTGAGGAAGGCACAACTTCTTGGAGAGAAGTACATAGGGGCTTCTGGGTATTGGTAATGGTTTGTTTCTAAAGCTGGGAAGTAGATACATAGGTTACATCACATTTCTATTTTACATTTTTATATAGGAAATATTCAAAGTTAAATTTAAAAAATAAGGTGATGGCTGGATTGTGAGTTAAAATTAGAAGAAAAAAAACCCCAAACGGTGACATTTTCAAAGACAGAAATACCAAGTTTTTTTAGACTAAATGCATAAAATTATATTTGTGGAACAATTAGTAATAAAGTCATTGCTTTTGGTGTTAACAGAATACAAAATAACTATAAGATACAAAAGTTGATAGAAAATAATTTATAATTGCTTGAAGCCCATGTATTTTACAACACTATAAATGTTCATATGAAATGATATAGAAACACTCCTTATTTTTAAATGGCTGTGGTATGTTTGATAGCCTACACTTTAAGAAGGATTAGGGGAAAACCAGAGAACGCTGGAAACATGAGTGACTGCACTGGGGCTTGGGTTCTCTTTCCAGCCACAAGGACGAAGTGTGAGGGCCTCTGGGATACTCTCCAGGGGATGTGCTCCTCACCCATGGGCTAGTGTGTCTGATGATTAAAGATAAATAAGTGACAGTGATGAGAACATCAGGAGATAAAACTTACAAATTAACTGGCTTGACTGGTGCCAAGAAAGATCTTGTTTGAAATCTGTCCCAGAGTCCACCAACCATCTAAAATCATCAAAATGAATGACAAGTATTTAACAAAGTGACTGTAATTTCTAGTATTTAAATTTCGATTACTGTGATTTCTGTGATATGTAAGTTTCAAGTACCGTAATTTCTAGTACACGAGCTCAGTCCCTCCTGTCACAGGCACGGGCCCAGGGCGCCTAGTGGAGGCGCTCCTGGAGCACCGTCACCTACTCAGAGGCCTGCTCCAGGCCGGCTCCGGCTCTCTGCTGTGCCCTCAGGCCCTCAGTGCCCTTTGTTTTCCCGGAGCTGGACCCTGCCTCCTTAGCCACCTCCTCCGGGCTGAAGCCCTTGTGAAAGGTCTGACCTGAGTCCTCATCTGGAGACGGGGCTTTCTTGGCTCCACAGCCTCAGATCGTCTCTCCCACCCACAGCCTGGGCTCTGAATCTCATCCTGCCATGGACGACTTTGGACACAGTATAGCTCAACACCAAAGAGTAGGTAATCAAACACCAGTTCTCACAGGTATAAAATATTTTAAAGGAGTTGAGAGAGCCTTAAAAATATTAATAGCTAGGAATCTAGACATATTTTTGGTCCTTTAATTGGTTTTAATTTCTGTATGCAAATCACATGCGAGATTTTATATTAATGCCTTATTTTCTCCTCTTATTATCATCTTTTTCACTGTAAAAACTGAAGTTTTTCAAGATAATCTAGACTTCTTGTAGCTCATGAACCTCTTAGGAGTCTATGTTTAGAACTGTATTTGAATATAGCTGATCTCTTTTATAGTCTTGTGTATTTTACATATTAAACACTTCATTCTGAAAGGTGGTCCCAGGGCTCAGATTTCCCCCAAAAGATGAGGGAATCCAGGGAAGCAGAAGGTGCTTTGCAAGCACAGAGCAAGGGCATCCCATGCAATACTGTGAGGCCTAAGGTAATATCTGAATGGTTCTCGAGATATATCCCAGAAAAAACAGTGGTGAAGGCAGTGGAACACCATCTGCAAAAGACAAGGCTGGATGAAGCAGCAGGTGGACTCAAAGATTTGAGAGCAGCTCACCACAGAACGTGATGTGCAATGTGGAGGGTGACGTGTCAGTGGTGGAGGAGAAGCTGAAGGTAGAGATGGAGAGAGACGAGGATAAGGAGGAGGTCACCGGCAAGTAACAGAGGCCTGGGTATGTGTCATGCAAGGAGGATGAGTTTTACCTTCTAGAAAGTGATGGGTTTTAATCAGTGTGGTAATCCCTGTGATGAGGTGGTTTTTTTTTCTTTCTCCCTATGATGAGTTCTTGATGTCAGAAATGAAAACAATGAACATCTCTACAGATAATTGGGTATGTCTGTCACAAAAGCTTTATGATTCATGGATTTTCCCATTCTGCCTCAAAAAGTGCAGAGCTAAGTTCTGGATTTAAGGACTGTTCTCAGCATAGGCATTCTGGAGGAATCATAATCATATCTCTGTCTTCATTACTTACTCCTTCTTTTGTAATTTTTAAAGTAAACACAGTATTTGAAAATAACTTTTGAAAGTGGTCTTTAAATGAAATTTGAAAAGTTTCAATATAGGTATGAATGCATTTGAGATTATTGATGACTTATGATTATGGAATTTTCAATTCCATAAATATATATATTTGCTTTGCTCCTTTCATAACAATAAAATAAATATTACTGTGGTTTAAAGTTTGGTTCAGTAATAAATGCATTATTTCAAAAAATGTAACTACAAAGTAAAAGGGATTGTGCACACATAATTAAGGTCCCTAATCACTGACCTGTGTTATTGCTGGCAATCCTTCATATCTTTTCAGTATAAAACAATGTGAAACAGGGTCAGCAGCTTTTTCCACTGTTGTTTCTTCTGGATCAAGTTTTGGTGGTAGCATCTTGTCCCAAGGAACCATTTCATAAGCTCTATAAAATTATTAAATAATGACATCTTGTGAAAAATACCTATCCAACTAGCATGGATCCTAACAATATCGTATTCTGTAGTCGGCAGATGTCCCTCGAGACTCCCGCCCCTCGTGTACACAGTGTACATAACCACTTCCCTTCTGGTGAGGGCAGAGCAAATGAATGTGAGAGGTACCATTCCTATGACAGTTTCTATGGCAATTTTATATGGCAAAAGGGCTTGCACACATGTAATTAAGGTCTCTAATCAGCTGAATTGGAGTGACTCAAAAGGTGGCTTATCCTAAGTGGTTCTAACCTAAACAGGTGAGCCCCCAAAGAGGCAAGAAGACAGCAGCAGACACTCTTTAGTTATCCTCAAACAAAACCGGTAAGTCCCGCAGCTGCACTGAACTGAATTCTGCCAACAATCCGAATGATCCTGGGAGATGAGGACCCAGCTGTCATTTGATGTCTTTGATTCCAGCCTGAGAAACACTGAAGCACTGAACACAGTGTGGACATGCCAGCACTTTTGTCTTATGGAAATATGAGATGATAAATGGGCATGATTTAAAGCTGCTACGTTGTGGTAATCTGTTACACTTTTTTTTTCCCATTTGGTCTCTGCAGCAGGACAAGAAGAACATTAACATACAAATCAACTAAGGCTTAGAGAACTGAGTCTGTTTGCTTGAGGTCACTCGGTCACTGATGGTCAAAGTTAGGACTTCTGTCTCGACTACTGGCTTACGAAGGGGCAGTTATATTCACATGATGTGAAGCATCCCCCTCCTCCCTAAAGCCATCTGGATACCAGGTCTCTGCATCTTCTTTCTCCTCTACCTGTTTCCTCCTCTTGGTCTCTTTTGCTGGCTTCCTTCTCTCCTCTTTCTTGATGTACACATGCCAAGACTCAAGATCTGCTCTTCATGGGCTCATTCAATGCTGTGGCTTGACATCCCTGCCCATAAATCATGACACCCAGATATACTCCTCCAGCCCAGCCCTCTCCCCCCAGACTGCAGACCCACAGACCCACTGTCCACTTGACATATCTCTTCTTTCACTTCAAACCCGCTCTACCTGCCTTCACTGTAATAAGCAACGGCTTCAGTCCATGCTGCCGCAGAGCATAAACCTTGGAATCATTCTCCATGCCTCTTTCTTTCAGACTCATAATCTCCAGCCTGGAAATTGTGTTGGCTCTGCTTTCAAAATGTATCCATTGGCCAACAACCCTTAAAACTTCCTACTGACCTCCTCCTACCTGCTATTACCTCTGACCTAGGTCACAGTGGCAGCCTTCTGACTGGTCTGCCAGCTTCTCCTCTCACTCAATCCACTCTGAATCCAACAGCTGCCATGACTGTTGATATACACACCTGATCTGGCCACTTCACTGCCAAGGCCTTACTGCCTACAGTTTCTTGACATGCCCCATGAGCTCTGGGTCCTGGCACTTCCTGACTTCTTCCACCACCGCTCCCTTACTCTGCTGCAGACCCTGGCCTTTGCTCTTCCTTGACAGACACCTCAGACACATGTCTGACACAGGGCTGTTACTCATTGTAATCCCTTTGACTGGAAGACAGTCCTTCCAGACATCTGAACGTCCCCTCACCTCTTCCAAGTTTCTGCTCAAATCTCACTGTGCAAGGAGGCCCACCCAGACCTCTCAGTTATTCCAGAAGCCTATTACCCCACACAGGGTGCTTCTGATCTTATCATGTTTTACTTTTTTCTCATTTTTTCATTGACTTATTACCTTCTAAGATATCATCTGTCTCCCTACTAGGCTTCTGGCTTAGCGACCATCTCCCTTTAGAGAGAGTACTCACTGGAGAATCTCACAGCCTGGGGCACAGACACATAACAGATACTTTGTATGATTCTCTCCTTCAAACTTCTCTTCTCTCCTTTTCTATTATGCTGTACCCTTATCTCATTCTCTCTCTCTGACCATTTCCTTTCTGTTTTGGTTTTATTTTTCTATTAAATGTAGGTTTTTTCCCTTCAACTGTTTATTTTAGCAACCAATATAAGTAAGTAAAGAATTGTGTCTGAAGTTCTTTGAAGTCCTCGCAGGACCCTGGATATTGTGCACAGGAAGGAGATGTGTCATTAAAGAAAAAAGAAATAGAAATGTATTTTTAAATCAAATTCTATTGGGAAAAAGTGCTTACTTTTGTGTAGAGGACTTGTAAAATGAGTCTTTTGCACTATATTTCTTGTTTGATTGTAAAAGTGGTTCTCCATTATCCTAGAAGGGGTGAATAATGTTAAAAAGATAAGATATAAATGAGAATTGCTAACGCTTTCTATTCATCATGCTTCTTTTCTCCTCTTTCTGCATTTTTCTTCTTTCAAAGCACCTCTTGGATCAACCAGATTTAACACTGTCCTCTATTATCTTAAAAATTTACATTGTTTACACACACACACATTCCTACTGATTACATTAAAATTTACAAATATATATTATTCTACTCATCTTTTTAAATCTGATTTTTGGCTTAATCATTTTTTTTTAGTTTAAGATTATAATTTATATAATTAATTCTAGCCCTTTCTTATTTTCTAATATACACACAAAACTCTAATTTTTTCTTCCTAGCACACTTTTAACTCCTTTATGTAAAATTATCAGTTTTATTTTCAAATTTATTAGGTTAAAACACCTTCTAATTTCTCCTGTGATTTCTTCTTTGACCCATGAATTATTTAGAGTCGTGGTGTTTCATTTTAAAATATTTGATGCCTTCCTAGACATCTTATATTATTTATTTTTAACTCTGTGGTAGTTACGGGTTTCCCAGGTGCTGCTAGTGGTAAAAAAACCCACCTACCAATGCAGAAGATGCACGATGTGGGTTAGATCCCTGGGTAGGGAATATCCCATGAAGGAGGAAATGGCAACCCACTCTGTTCTGGCCTGGAGACTCCCATGGGCAGAGGAGCCTGATGGGCTATGGTCCATAGGGTCACAAAGAGTCAGACAAAACTGAAGTGACTTAGTACATGGTAGTTTAACTATAGTCACTGACTTGGAATGCTGAACCAAATTTGCAATCCTGGAATAATCCCCACTTAGTCCTAATGTCTTATCCTTTTTAATATCACCAGTTGGCCTTCCCAGATGGTGCGAGTGGTAAAGAACCTGCCTGCCAATGCAGGAGACTGAGGAGATGCACGTCCAATCCCTGGGTGGGAAAGATCCCTGGAGAAGGACATGGCAACCCACTCTAGTATTCCTGCCTGGAGAATCCCAGGGATAGAGGAGATTGGCAGGCTATAGTCACAGGGTCACAAAGAGGTGGACATGACTGAAGTGACTTAACATGCAAATTCAATTTAGTAAAATTTTGTTAAGAATATTTTTTCCTGTTCATAGGCATATCAGACTATTTTTGTTGTAGTATCTTTTTCACATTTAGATGACAGGCTAGTTTTTGTTCTCAGATATACTATTTGGGTCAGATGATATTATTTCTTCCTTAAACATCTGATCTTATTCATCAGTAAAACTACCTAACCCTGGAGTTTTTCTGTGGAAAGTGTTTTAATAATCAATTAAACTATTTTAATAAGTATAGGACTACTCAGTTCAGTTCAGTCACTCAGTCATGTCCGATTCTTTGCAACCCCATGGACTGCAGCACACCAGGCTTCCCTGTCCATCACCAACTCCCAGAGCTTGCTCAAACTCATGTCCATTGAGTCAGTGATGCTATCCAACCATCTCATCCTCTGTTGTCTCCTTCTCCTCCCACCTTCAATCTTTCCCAGTATCCAGGGTTTTCCCAGTGAGTCAGTTCTTCACATCGGGTGGTCAAAATATCAGAGCTTCAGTTTCAACATCAGACCTTCCAATGAATATTCAGGACTGATTTCCTTCAGGATTGACTTGTTTGATCTCCTTGCAGTCCAAGGGACTCTCAAGAGTCTTCTCCAACACCACAGTTCAAAAGCATCAATTCTTCAGTATTCAGCTTTCTTTAAGGTCCAACTCTCACATCCATACTACCGGAAAAACCATAGCTTTGACAAGACGGACCTTTGTTAGCAAAGTAATGTCTCTGCTTTTTAATATGCTGTCTAGGTTTGTCACAGCTTTTCTTCAAAGGACCAAGTGTCTTTTAATTTCAAGCCTGCAGTCACCATCTGCAGTGAGTTTGGAGCTCAAGAAAATAAAGTCCGTCACTGTTTTCCCATCTATTTGCCATTAAGTGATGGGACTGGATACCAGGATCTTAGTTTTTTGAATGTTGAGCTTTAAGCCAGCTTTTTCACTCTCCTCTTTCACTTTTCATCAAGAGGCTTTTTAGTTCCTCTTCACTTTCTGCCATAAGGGTGGTGTCATCTGCATATCTGAGGTTATTGATATTTCTTTCAGCAATCTTGATTCCAGCCTGGGCTTCATTCAGCCCGGCATTATGCATGATGTACTCTGCATATAAGTTAAATAAGCAGGGTGACAATATACAGACTTGACATATTCTTTCTCCAATTAGGAACCAGTCTGTTGTTCCATGTCCAGTTCTAACTGTTGCTTCTTGACCTGCATACAAATTTCTCAGGAGGCAGGTAAGGTGGTCTGGTATTCCCATCTCTTTAAGAATTTTCCACAGTTTTTTTGTGATCCACGCAGTCAACATCTTTGGTGTAATCAATAAATCAGAAGTAGATGTTTTTCTGGAACTCTCTTGCTTTTTCTATGATCCAATGGATGTTGGCAATTTGATCTCTGGTTCCTCTGTCACTCAGACAGTTTTATGTCAGTTTTGATAAGTTGTATTTTCAAGGAATTTGCTCATTTTAACTAAGTTGTCAGGTTCACTGACATAAAGTTGTTTACCATATCCTTCATTAAAAGATAAACTATATTGAGATCTTTAATGAACTAAATCTGATTAATGCATATGATTTGATATTACAGCTATATATTTTTTTTTCATGAAACCACCACAACAGACAAGATTCAGAGTATTTATATTTTGAAAAAGCATTTCTCATGCTGCTTTGGATCCATATATCCCTATGTTCCCAGTCCAGGTCAACAAGTAATCTGCTTTTTGTCACTCTATACTGTTCTGCATTTTAGAATCCGCTAATGTATAATATTTTGTTTCTGGCTCCTTTCATGCAGTATAATGATTTTCAGTTTCATTCCTGTTGTCACATGTATTAGAATAATAGATCTTACTCGCTGAATATTATTCTGTTGTATGGCTATGCGACAATGTGCTCATACTTTCACATGCACATGAACAATTTGTTCCCACTTTTTGTCAATAAGGAATAAAGCTGCTTTGAGTATTTATGCTCAAGTCATTGTGTGGGCATATATTCAAATTTGTCTTGTGTAAATATCTAAGAGTAGCATATCTGGACACTTGATAGGTGTGTGTCTAACTTCTGAACAAAGTGTTAAAGTTTCTGCAGTATTTGTAACATTTCACATTCCCACCAGCAGGGTGTGAGAGTTCCAGTGTTCTGTATCCTTGTCAACAGTTGGAATTTTTAGCCTTTAAAATTTTAGCTATTGTGGAGATACATTGTATATGAGTTGTGTTTCGCTAATGACTTAGCACATTGAGCATCTTTTAATGTGTTCATTGGCCATTCTTATATTTTTTTGTGAGGTGTCTGTTCAGATCTTTTGATAATTTTTCATGTGGGGTATGCATCTTGTTCCTGATTGCTTTTAAGTGATCTTTATACATTTTAGATACAAATCCTTTCTTATTTATATGATTATGAATATTTTCCCATTATGTGGCTTGCTGGTTCATTTTCTTTATAATGCAGTTTGAAAATCTAAATATTTCTAAAATTTTATAATCTTAATTTTATATTAAGGCTTATTATCCACTTAAGGTTATTTTTTGTACAGGTTAATGGTATATCCAGCTGTTTCTGTAATATACTAAAAGACTTTCCTTTCTTCACTAAAATGCTTGGCACATTAAAAAAAAAAATCAAATGGCAATGTATTTGGTGGCTGTTATTTCTGGACTCTTAGGTTCCATTAATCTGTATGTCGATCATTTACCTATTGCTACTGATTATTGTAGCTTTATAGTAAGACTTGAAATCAGGTAGAATAAATCCTCCAACTTGTTCTTTTTATTCAAAATAGTTTTAGCTATTTTAGGTTTCCATTGTATATTAATTTTACAATCAGCTTGCCAATTTCTTCAAAAGTGCCTCTTAGGATTTTTATGTGGTTTGCACTGAAACTATCTATAGATCAACTGGGAAAGCATTAGCATATTAACAATAATAAGTCTTTCTGTCCATGAGCCTGGTTTGCTTTCCACTTATTTAGGTCTTCTTTATTTCACTCAGTATAGTACTCTGCTTGTCAGGGAAGAAAATATGCATATGTTTCACACAATTCTATGTTAGTTTTGCTTTGGTTTGTAAAATATAATCTTAAATTTTCATTTTGCAGTTGTTTGCTTCTGATATGTAAAGATTCAATTGGTTTTTGTATATTAAACAATAAACCTGTGCCTTTAATTGACTCAACTATTATCTTTAGTAGTTGTTTTGCAGATTCCTGAGGGTTTTCTATATAAATGTCTATGTAAAGATGGATTTGTTTCTTCCTTTCCAATATTTATGACTTTTAATTATCTTCCTTATGTTACTGCAATAGCTATTACCTCCATGAGGCGGGAAACAAAAATGACAAGAGTAGGCATTTTTTATTCCTGATTCTAAGGAAAGAAAACTGTCTTTTATCACTACTTTAGCCTTAGTTTACCACAGATGTCCAAAATCAGGTTGAGAAAGACCCTTATAAATCTAATTTGTTGATAGCTTTTATTACAAATGAATATTGATTCCATTCCCTTGCTAAGAATAGTCTTGGTTATTTATGATTCTTAGATTTCTGTATTCATTTTATAAAGAAATTTTCAATTTTCTAAAAGAAACAGCTCGGATGTTGATTGGAATTGCACTAAGACTAAAAATCAAATTAGAAAGGTCTAAAAAAAATTTTAACACTGAGCCTTCCAATCCAGATGACAGCAAGTTGCTCTATTTGGGTATTTTAAAAATTTTCTCAATACACTTTGTAGTTTTGCCACAGGGTTGCCAAATATTTGTAATTGCTGGTTTAAATGTTCTCAGTTGACTTTTTAAAAATTTACTGTGTCCTCATGTTCTTCTGGCTTGTACAGATTCTGACAAGAAGCCGCTGCCATTTTTATATGTGCTCCTTTGTATATACATTTTTTCCTCTACCTGTTT